TTCAACAGACAGAACAGTTGGCGCGACCTTGCATTCCCACCCAACTATAACAACTCAGCCCCGGGCGTCGCCTAAGCTAATGGCCATAAGGCCTCAAAGGGCCGGCTCACCATTACCACGCTGTTGCAGACCGTTCCCGCCCACTTCACTGTCAGAGTTGGTGCAGCAAGCACAGGACTCGGACAGGTAGACCGTAGACACCCAGAGGAGGTAAAGAAAGTAGAGAAGCAGGAAGGGAATGGTCGATGCAACCTTAGTTGTCAATTACGCTGGTCGCTTCTGGGTGATGTTGGAGATTGCTGACGGCATTTGCTGCCATCAAGCCTGCTTTTAGATATTTCCACAGCTGACTCAGCATTCTTGTACGTGACTCAGATTTTGGACAGGTCATCAGACACACTTGGCGGCGGCACCCTATGGCGCTCTCTGGCATCCTTTGGCAGCCCAACTTTGAGGTTCTTTTGATGGGTTGCAATGGTTCCCAACATCAATATTCAGAACAACAGAGGGTCCATTTTTGGGGGGAGCTCGCTGGGAAGCTCGGAAGCTGGCAGTCCGTGGTCAGCGCGTCGTACTCGCAGGCGTCTGGTCAGGCTCAGGTAAGAGCCGCTTGCCTTTTGTTTCTTTGACAGGAGGGCATATGCTGTACACTGCAGGTGAATGCCTTCGGGTCACAGTGTGGTCGAAGCATGTTTCAATCACTCAGCCTGCCGCATGTTATCAATGACTTGCAGCGGTACAGCGCAATTGCTTTAGAGAACTTGTTTCGACATCTTCACCCGCATGCATGCATATGCAACCTGAGAGGTCGCTACAAGTGGGGCTTGGTCAAAGTACTCCACACTCTTTCGTTTGCTACTCAGGTTAAAAGTAAAGGGTGAAATGTCATTCTCGCGCAGGCTGATTGCTCTGCTTCAGTGGAGCACGTGGACAGCAGCGCCACTCACCAGAGTTTAGGGTAAGTTTCTGCTTCCCTCGCCCCTGCGTATCTGTGCACTTGTGGGGTGTGCTCTTAGGTGACCCTTCCCAGCGGATGGCTTGCGTCTGTCTTCTCACAGGTCAATTTTACTCATCTACTCGTGACTAGCAGTAGATGGCAAAAGAGGCTGCACCACCGCCGCCTCTCTTTCCTTGTTGAATTGATTTGGGGCCCATTGCGGGACTGGTATGTGGCCCGCTGTAGGACTTAATTGGATGCTGTAGGACTGGATTGTGTCTGGATGTTGGACTGATGCCCGCTGTTGTGCTGATTTGGGGCCCGCTGTTTAGCTGATCTGGGGTCCGTTGTTGGGCTCTTTCGACGTTATTGTTTGGGGGACTTAGCTCCCACTGCGGGCTGATGTGTTGCCCGCTGTAGGGGTGATTTGGGGTCTGCTGAAGGATTGATATGGAGCCCGCTGCGGGGCTGGTTTGGAGCCTGCTGTCGGGCCTATTGGGATTTCACTGTGGGGGCTGGTGTGAGCTTGCTAGGAGCCTGAATACTCGCCCGCTGCGGGGCTGATTTTGTTGTCCAATGTAGGGTTGTTTCAGAGTCTGTTGTAGGGCTTTTTTCCTGGTTTGCTGTTGGGTTCACTTTCTGGAGAGGCTTGCCGTCAGGTTGGTCTTGGGCCCGCTGTCAACAATTTTCATCTACATGCATGTTTCAAAGCCCGCGCTGACGGTCGAATGAGCACTGAATCTTGAGCCTCGGGACCTCGCTTTCGAATTGCTGATTACGGGCATTGAGTGCACTGACTCTGGAGCACTGGTTCTTGCAGGATATGGAACAGTACATGCCTTCAAGCCCGACCTACTCTGGCCCAAGATCACTTGAGAGGCACGGCATCGTGGAAAGTTCACAGGTCCAAGACACAGCGGCCAGCGGCCAGCCACATGTCCAAGGGATGCAAGTGAGTGGGATCCTGAGCTTTTCATGGATGGGACAAGGCATGGACCAATTGATGCATGCTGCGTATGCATAGTGCCGACAATCTGCATTTACTTGCTCCCAACGTTCTTCAGGATCATGGATGGTACGGCCTTGGCTGGTCGAGAGTTCTGACTGGATATGTCATGATGCTTCTATCATCGGAGGGACGTTTTCGTTGGTGGGTGGTACCATTTACAAAGCTCTCAAGGGATTACGGGTGGAATGATTTGGAGCGTCGCAAGTTAGGAGTTCTTTTGTCAAAGCCTGGCATGCCTATGCTCTCTAGGGAAGTTTTGACCGGTCGTGGTCACCACTGCCGTTGTTTTCAGCATCATGAGTGGATTGGCCTGGCCCCATTCTGAATTGACTCGCACTCTCCAGTGTTGTGCACCGGCTTTTACTTAGCAATGAGAGCCTGCTATTTTGGTTGAGGTGACAGAAGGTCTAACGCATCATGGCCCCTTGACCTCCTTGCAGGACATGTCCGGCGCACCCCGCAGTGCGACTCTCCCGCCGTGCTCCATCAGAGCGCTCGTGACGAGCGCGTCGCGGGGCTTTCTCACCAGCTCGAAGCGCGGCCACCGAACCTTTCGGAAGGTGGCGGGGAGCCTGTGCCGTCGCGCTAAGAAGGAGCTCGGCGCTGCCGGCCTTCTCTGGTCGAAGACTGCCTGGGATGGGGGCCTGCATGCGGCGATGGCAGGCATCCAGGCGCTTGCAGGCACCGCAGATGCGGGCCTGCAAGAGGGCTTTGAAAGGGTCCTGAAGTCGATCAGGCAGGCCCATCTGGAGGGGCTGCAGCAGTTGGCAAGCGCATCCCGTGGAGCTCGCAGGGCGCCCGCGAGCCCTGCGCCCGCGAGTCGATCGATCACGAACGAGGCCCGCCCCCCAGCTGGTGGTGTATCAAGGAAACTGAGGGAAGCGAGAGAGGAGCTGGCCACCTACCTCTTTGGAGACAAGGGTGAGTCGCAGTGGCACCTTGATCGAGCTGGCATCCGATTGGGCTTTTGCGAGAGTCGGATTCAGAGCCTTGGGTGCAGTTGTGATCTAGGGTTCGAGACTTTGCAATCGCATTGACTTCAGAGCTCTCGCAACATGGCATGTCCCGGGGAAGCTCTTGCAACGTGGCATGTCTTGGAATAGGAGAAGGTGGACCTCTGCGCCCACGTGAGTTGGGCCGGACTTCACTCGTGTCCGATGCTAATCTCAACTCTCCGTGCTTTCCTGCCAGTACCTTACGGCCTCCTCTGCAAAGACTGCAGCTCCCCTGCAATCTTGGCTCGGCGTGGGGGCAAGCAAGGGGGCAGTTTTGAGTGCTTTTGCAAGAAGCATTACGAGCGCAAGAATCCTGGCAATCCTGGCGGCTTCGAGTTGGAGAAAACCCGAGCAGGTGAGCCCAATGCACCCGCCCTGGCTCTGCATGAGCTATTTGGCTCTCGAATCACTGTGCGCCGGTTGCAACTGTAGGAGTTTGAGATGCAAATCTCGGGAGTCTGTGTGCAGATAGCTGTCATCCCCAAGATTGCGACTGTTTGCATCTGCCAGTGTTTGCATCCAAGCACTCGTTGCAAAGACATGTGCCTCGTGCCTTTTCACAGAGTGGGCACGTGTTCGCGAAGTGCGCAAGGTGAAGAGAGAGCTGGCGCAGGCGCTTGAGGAGGACGCAGCGCTGAGGAGGGAATATGGTGAGATTTCATAGGCAAAGGGCGAGAACCGTGCACGATTTCAGCTTCATGGGTAGCTCTTCGCTCGAATTAGGCGTTGGTCTGTCCTACTTCTAAAGCATGCAACCCGTTGAGCTCGATGCTCACAGATGAAGGTCGCTGCAAAGCTTGCCCGCAGGCTCACGTGCCGTTCTGCCCTTCTTTCGCAGCATGCGATGGATGCCTGCGTGATTGTTCGTGCTGGGACGCAACCCCCAAGAGCAGGAACCTCATTGGTGAGTCACGACTCGGAAGAGTAACGATCTCCTGCTTGTAGCTGCCCGTCTTTTGAGAAAAAGTTGTACAGGAGAGAAAGTGCCAAAGCTTGGGCCGTACCAAGATGACGTGTCAGACTTGTTGGACCACACCTCGCAAATGGCGTCGAGCAGCTGAGAGTGGGATTCCTTATTGATTTTGACAAGGTGTGGTCCAATCGACAACAAGGCGTGTACGCTATTCGCTTCTTCACGATCTGATTGATCAGTCGACTTGCTGGACCACACCTTGCAGATGACTTTCGGGTGCAAAAAGTGGATATCTTTATGATCATTGACAAGGTGTGGTCCAAAACCGGATGGACGTTTTGACCTGCTGGACCACACCTTGCACATGACCTTAGAGTGCTGAGAGCAGCTTTCCTTATAATCTTTGACAGGGTGTGGTCCTCCAGACAAACGCGTGCCTGCCACTTGCTTCTTTATGACCCGAATGGTCGGTCTGGCTTGCTTAACGATCATTGGTATTTGTTTTGCAGCAAAGCTTCTTCTGATCGGCGGCATTGAAAGCAATCCCGGGTGGCCAGCGTCCCGGTCACAGCGGAACGAGAACAAGGACGGACCTGCATCCAATGCCAGCCGTCGTCGTCCGCTTGTGACTCTGCCCTCTCGAGAGGTGAGGACAAGTCTGTGCTGAACTGAGTACTCGCAACATGGCTCAGTGATACTTAACAAGCGCAGCGCTCTGCTTGAAACGTTGCTTGAGACTTTTGGAAACCTCAGGTGCTGATCAGCGTGGCCTCATCTGAACCCGTATACCTAGTGGTGCGAAGAGAGGCTGTTGTGCAGGACGTTGCACGGAGCTGGCAGCCTGCACCAGCTCTGCACGTTGTTCAGCGTGATGTCGAGGTCTTTGAGGAGTGGCGGAATTATGCAAAGCTTTACGAGCAGGTGAGCGGCTGGCACCTGCCTCGCAACGATCTAGGGCGCACAGACATGGTCTTGTGATCAAACACAACTCTCAGCAATTGCTCTTTCAGAAAGCATGGGCTTCTTTCTGCGAGTCAACTTAGAGAGACCTGCCACTGAGATAGCTGCGTAGTGACTCCTCTGAGCACCTGTTTTGCTTACCTCTTTCAGATTTTGACCTTTTGACCCCTCCACTTTCAAGGTGGACCCCAGCCGTGCGACCTTGGAGGGAGGCATCACCTCAGAACGAAGTGATCGAGTGGCCCCCGAGGCCATCAAAACGCTCGAGATCGCGGCGGAGGTGCCAAATGTGGCTGATGCATCTGACGAGGAGGAGCTTCATCATCAGGACATGATAGAAGAGGGCATTTTGAATGCCCAAGTGAGCTTCAGATGATTATCCGATTTTCCTCCAGCACCTTGATCGGGGTTGTCATAGATGAATTAGTCTTGCTTTTGAAAGCCACGTAATGCAAGTCTTCTTGAGGGCGCCCGACTACTGCAACGAATCCTCGTCATCGAATGGGAGTTTTAGCCGTTCGGTATTGTACGTCCTCCACATCAGATACGTTGATCAGATCAGTGACGACACAGCGATGCACTTTCAGGCCTGCAGAATGTGAGGTGCCGCGGCGTTGGTCTGCCGGTCTTGATCATAGCATTGCGGTGGGAATCATGCTGATGCGCTTCACCGATTCTGACGAATCTTTCACTCATGGTTTTTGAAGGTGGAAGTCAGCAGAGCAGACGCAGAGGACCGGCTGTCTATATCGAGAGGGACACCCGGCACTGCACTCAAGACCATCTGCGGCGCCACAGCAGAGGTGAGAGGGGACCGAGCTCAGTCAAGCCACAGAAGTTGCACGCATCCGACTGTTTGGCAAGGCCACATAAATTTCTGGCCACGTTCTTAATTTAAGGGTCCTTTTGAAGTCTGCTTCTTAGGCCAGAGCTGCAATGCTTCTGTTGCCTTGATCGACTGTGATACATTTCAAGCGGTGCCTTGAGATAAGATCGTTGAAACTCGTTCGCTCTTTCTTGCATGGCTCTTTAGCGCAACCGTATCAGAGATTGGGCCTGGATGCTTAGAGTCCACGTGCTGGAAGACACCTTTGAGGTTTTGGTATGAACCTTTTCTGAGCAAATCCTGACGGCGGCCCGCTTTGCTTCTGCGGAATGCTTCAGTGCTAGTTTTGTCTGGAACGTTTCCTGATCCATTTCTCACAAAAGGTCCAATCTGTGTCCAGGAAAGCTGCGCCAGCCAGCGGTCGGCAACGAGCGCGGCCAGCGAGTCCGGTTTCGAGCCGTCGGG